AAGGCAACGTGTCCTTAGCAGTTGGAGTCTGTTCCTGGAGTCAGCATTGTTAGATGACAAACACACTAAGAAGGGTGGGGCACTGAACAAGCAGAGCTGCTGCTGTTGGAAGCTGTGCCTGCTCCATACCCATGCAGGTGACCTTTTGCAAAGCCTAACTCTGCCTTGTGAGATAGCTCTACTTTGACTATGTCTGTAAGTTTCTTCTGATATATATAAACATCAGAAGATATATATATATATATATATATATATATATATAGCTACTAAATGAGGTATTCAATGAGATTATTTTAAATTTTCAAAAGAATGATGCTTATGTCTCCTTTATAAGTATAAATATATATATGCCAATATACATGCCAATATATCTCCAATAAACAATGAAAAAGCCAGAAGTGGAACTGTGGCTGAAGTGATAGAGTACCAGCCTTGAGTGAAAAAACTCAGGCACAGAGCTTAGGCCCTGAATTTAAGCTGTAAAACATATATGGCATATGTGTATTGGGTATGTGTGTGTGTGTGTGTGAGTGTGTGCCAGAAAAAAAGTTTTTTTCATCTTGTTCTTTCCAAGTTCTTATATTATTTTCCTATCATGTCAACTGATTGATGGTTATTGCTGGAGTTTTTTTTTTAATCTTCATATCTGGCCCCTGAATACTGAAAAATTGGTGTCTTTTTTTTTTTAAGAAGAAAGGATAAATAAATCCCAGTATAATATGGAAATGATAGGTCCATTACATCTTAATACTATTTGGGCAAATATAACTCAGGATATGTCATATCTTATCATGTATCACTTTACAACTTGAAGTTTTCTTTGACAAGCATAAATTTAGATACTTTGAATTTACAGCAGAAATCATACTTCATATAACAGTGTATGGTAGTATAGACCTGTAATTCCAGTACTTGAGATCAGGCAGGAGGATTGTGTGTCTGAGGCTTACCTGGTTACTTGGAGATAATTTTTTTTTTAAAGGAAAAAAACAAAAGATTGCATTTTACTATTAAGCACTCTCAGGAGGAAAAAGTACTACTATGTTGATACTTTTCTAAACTTACGTACTACTATTACTTAATAATAATAAGTAACATATAATAATAATAAGTAATAATAAGTAAGACCTCTTTTTATTTCTCTTTGGTGGTGTCAAGGATTGAACCCAAGACCTTGTGTTCTACCACTAAGCTACAGTCCCTAGCTCAGCCTCAAATTTTTGTTGTTGGTATAAATTGAGTAAACTTGGAAGACCAATTTCTCTACAATTCCAAATTTATACTTCAATGATTGTGATATATAAATTGATTCTGTTTTACTGATTCCCAAAATAAAATAATTGATTAAAAAAAATCTCAGCTTGGTGCGATGCCAGTGACTCATGCCTGTAATCCTAACTACTCAGGAAATAGATCAGTTTGAAGCCAGCCTGGGCAAGAAAGTCTGTGAGCCTCTATCTCCAATAAACTATCAACCAGAAGTGGAGCTGTGGCTGAAGTGGTAGAGTGCCAGCCTTGAGTGAAAAAACTCAGGCACAGTGCTTAGGCCCTGAATTTAAGCCATAAGACTCACACACACACACACACACACACACACACACACACACACACACACACGACTAATTGCTTAGATTTGCTGGGCACTGGTGGCTCATACCTGTAATCCTAGTTAGTAAGATGGGATCTGAGGATTGTGGTTCAAAGCCAGTCCAGGCAGGAAAGTCCGTGAGTCTCTTATCTACAATTAACCACCAGAAAACAGGAAGTGGTGCTGTGGCTCAAATGGTAGAGTGTTTGCCTTGAGCTGAAGCCCTGATGGACAGCGCCCAGGCCCAGAGTTGAAGATCCACAACCGACCAAAAAAAAAAAATTGCTTAGATTTTTTGTAAAGTACATATTAATTTGATAACTGGATAATAATTTGCACCTAGAGAAAAGAATTCTAGTATACTAGTATTACTCAGCTGGGTTACTGTAGGTAATGGTTGTATGCTATGTGTCTCAAAGAGCTGGAAGAAAGAATTTTGAATGTCTTCATCATTGGAGATAAATCTTTGAGGAGCTAGGTATGTTAACTCTGATTGTATAATGGATACATGTATCAAAACATCACCAAGACACTTCATTTTACATAAAATGTATATGTTTTTAAGTATCACTTAAAATTAATTTATAAAGAAGGATAACCATTTATTTTTTTCTACAAGTTGATCTTTGGGGGACAGTTTGCATTGTCTAATTCTCATATTTTATCCTTGACATGGAGTACCAATGAGAGAATAGCACGTTCTCTGTTCTGAAAAGCCTTCTGTTTACCTCTGCTTTCCATATGACTCACTTCATATTAACTGTATTCCCAGAGTTTTCAGCCGTAGGTCAACCCAGAAAGCAAATACAGAAGAAACTTGCCACATTTCTTTCTTCCTGATCTCTCTAAGACCTCGTCATCTTTTCAAGACTAAGCTTTCCTGTGTTTACTTCATAGCATTTGTAGGGAAATGATGCATTTTTTTCATTGTTTAGAGGCTTTGTGGGGCTGTACATGCTGGGTAAGAATGAATTTAAATCCAGGGAATAGTTAGAATGTAATTTTAGAACTGAAACTTCATTGTGGTTAAACCAGTTTTCTATTATTCTCATTTATGTTAGGTTCCAGATAAAAAGCTTTCTCAGTACAAGCAATTCTACCAATTCATTACTGTAAAGGTCCAACCATTTCATGACTTTGGTGTGGATTTTCTGAGGCTTTCTTAGGTCTGATGGAGATATGTCTGCTGGACCTGGAGCATGAAATTAGCTATTCTCTAAATAGATTTCCATATGGAATCATAGAGGTGACTTTCTCTCAAATACCAGAATGAGCACTAGATAATTTTTGTTTCTTAAGTGGCAAGAAAATATGATTTTTAAATTTCAAATGGATACATAGGCATTTTATTTATGACTTAAATAATTTCATCTGATTCATTTTACAGACCCGACTCATACTGCTTTTGAATGAAAATACTTTCTCTGAGTGCTTTCAAAATGCTTTTATGTGGTAGGTATACAATGCATATCATTTGCAGCTCAGATTAGTTTAGAAAACTGGGATGAATGACTTGTAGAAGACAAGCAAAGGAAATGAAGCCGGTAATCTGTGAAATTTGTTAAAGGTTTCTGAAAGCATATAATAGCTGATATCTTTAATTGTTTTAAAACTTATAGCTTAAGCCAGGCACCCATGGCTCATGCCTGTAATCCTAGCTAGTCAGGAGGCTGAGATCTGATGATTGAAGTTCAAAGCCAGCCCAGGCAGGAAAGTCTGTGAGACTCTTTCCTTCAATTAATCACCGAAAAAGCCAGAAGTGACTCTGTGGCTCAAGTGCTAGATTGCTAGTCTTGAGCATTAGGAGCTCAGGGACAGTACCCAGGCCCAGAGTTCAAGCCCCAGGACCAGCAAAAAAGATTAAATAAATAAGCAAAACCTACAGCTTAGACATGATCTTCTCAACATGCAATTTGTCATTCATGCTCTGTACTTTCTTTATGGTAAATGGTTACCATGGCTACACATATTGCTTAAAGCTCTGTGTCAACTTTTTCTCATAAACCTCTCTGTGATATTGTCCCTTAGAGTCAATTAAACAGGTTACTATTTCTGGACTGTGGAAAAATGGATACAAATGCCTAAATGAGGAGGATGTGACAGCTTAAACCTGCAATTCTAGCTACTTCAGAAGAAGAGCTTCAGGATTGTGATTTGAAACCAGCCCAGGCATAAAAGTTCATGAAACTCCATCTCAACCCAGTGGCCTGCACAGTGGCACATAACTGTTATCCCAGTTATGGAGAAAGCATAATGGATGGGTGGCGTGGTGTGCATTTGTCATCCCAAAGAAATCACAAACAGAAGGCTCTCAGTCCAGGTTGGCTCTGGCATAAAGTAAGCTCAACCTTGAAAATTACCAATGCAAAAGGGGCTGGAGGTGTGATTTAAATTGTACAGACCCTTATAAGAACAAGGCCTGAGTTCAATCCCTGGTACAAAGAAAAAGGCCTGAAATGATTTATCTATGAGAACTAAGTTAAGGAATGAATTTAAAGGAAGATTTATTTTGCCCTAACTGTTAGAAATAAAATTGAAATTAATATTCTTATGGCATACAGGTAACATTTGTAATTTTTGTTTTGAAAAAGTTGTTATGAAAGGGGCTTCAATTCAGCTTGTCAATTATGAGTATAATTGTGAACAGCGTACATTATTGAACTTTGGCAAAATTTCTCCCCTTTGTTTACTAACTACATGTTCAGAGCTAGAATAAACCAGCAGCTGTGAATGAGGTAACATAATATTTATTCTGGCATCTGTAGTCCAACAAATATTAAAGTTGAAAAACGAATGCTCAAAGTACATCGTACCAGGAACAATTGTATATCCGGTCACGTCTCATCACTTAGAAATGCCACAAGTTTCAGTGGAACTAAAGATCAAGACAAGTTCACAGTTTTGGAAGACTTTCACACACTCTGAAGTTGTGATTTTGTGGCTATTTCTCTTTTGCAAGTCATTCTAGAGGAACCTTTAGGTTAGGCAACTACCCTAAAAAGATTTATTAAACTCAGAAGGAGGAAGTTACTAATGCAGTTTATGCTAGCTAATTGCGCAGTTCCGGGATGTTAAGTATAAATTATGGAAATTTTATGTCCAATCAAAGTTCTTGCTAATGATATTGACACAGAAACGTAACATTCACTCTCTATCTTTTGTAAAGACTAACAAAGAAGCAGGTCCAGAGCTGTAATTTTACTCAAAGCCTATTGCAAAAGGGAAATGAAGTAGATGAAGACCCTTTAGCCCTCTGTCCTTGAAGCTAGTCTTTGTGTTTTCAAGGATTCTCTTCCAAGGATGCTTGTGTATTCACTAGGTAGAAGATTCTGTTAGAAGATGTTGTATACCAGAACCCTCCCATGCTGGCCTCCTTATGCTGTTAGCATAAGGACACTGAAACTATAGAGAAAACTTTTTTTTTCTTTTTTTGTGGTCCTGGAGTTTGAACTCAGGCCCTTGAGCTTGCTAGGCTAGTGCCATACTTACAAGCCATGCCTTCATCCCTGTTTGTCATTAGTTATTTACAAGTGGGTTTTGTTTCCCTCTGGGCATGTGTCTGACCTCTTATCAGTCTACTTTAAATTTCCAAATGTCAGGCTGGCAAGGTGGCTCAGAGGAAGAGTGCTTGCCTTGTATGCATGAGGCCCTGGGTTTGATTCCTCAGCAGCACATAAGCAGAAAAAGTAGGCGCTGTGGCTCAAGTGGTAGAGCACTAGCCTTGAGCTGAAGAGCTGAGGGACAGAGCCCAGGTCCAGAGTTCAGGCCCTACAACTGGCAAAAAACAAAAACAAAAAACCCAATGTCTCTGGGACCTCAGGTGCATACCACTGAATCCAGCTTCCCTTCTGTGGAGACAGAGTTCCATGGACTTTCTAGACTGGCTTGATCCTGAATGGAAACCCTCCCAATCTTAACCTTCTATGTACACAGAGGTGAGAAGAGGTCTTGTGAACTTTTCTGCCTGGCCTGGCTTCAAATTTTAATGTTCCTATTCTCAGTTTAGGATTAAAGTAGCTAGGATTAAAGGAAAGAGCCACTGGTGCTCGCTGGGCTGAACTTACAGTGTTGTCTCATCGCTCATATTAGGGTAATGTTTCTGGAAGGTACTCCAGTGCAAATGGTATCATTCTGTCTGCCTGCGAGAATCTTTTACCACTCGTTACAGGACTTGATTCACTCTTAACATGCTTTAACGTTCCTTTCTAGACGTTATATTGGCTTTTTAAAAATCCACTCACTTATCATGGTCTATGCTTTTTATTTGTGAGTCTATCCTCCATATGAATTATTTGTCCATGGAAGTTCAGTATGCTGAGTAGTCCAGAGGTTTTCACACAGCCTTTCTGAGTTATTCTCTGGCCCAGGGCCAATTTTGTGCTTATTGCTGTTCTTTAGAAGGTTCTTGCCCAAAGGAGATAATACACACTTCACTTATATACCCATACCTGTGAGAGACATGCAATTTTGCTCTCTCACATACATAGGTCTTGTTTTGTTTTGATTCTCTTTATTGGATTTCTGCAAACGGCATTTCCTCCTTGAATTTCTTGGTTACTAGGTGCTGTTTCGTAGTAACCTCCCCCTAGGTACATAGTTTCACCAGAACTCTGGGCTTTAGTTCCTATTCATGCACTCAAATACTTTTCCTAACCCCACATTATTATTTTTATTATTATTTTGACAGTGCTGAGGATCAAACACAGACCCCCCCCCCCCCACTCATGTAGCCAAGAGCTCTGTCACTGAGCTGCATACACCCCAGGCCTACTGGACATTTTCTGTAACTGTCAATAGGTGGGGTAGGGAATATAAGCCACTCAGTCTCCTGCATTATCTAGTCTGAATTGATTTGTGTTAATGCAATCACTCATTATTACTTTTGAAGACTATTTTGATCCCCCTGGGAAAAGAGGATCTAGACAGCTCCTATAAAGAGTATTGTCTGACAGTGATTATTGTCTTGGCAACATGGGAGTGGTTTTATTTAATGTCGTCGTTGGAGCCAGCCTTCGCTTTACTCAAGTGGGGGAAGGGAGACTCAGGAAGGGAGGAAATAAAGTGGGGAGCAGGCAGCAAGCCTGGGCCAAGTCAGGTGGAGATCGAAATGCTGAACAGCAGATGGGTGCCTAGGTTGAAGCCGGTATGGCAATAGAAGCTAATTCTTTCTAAATGAATGGAAGAAAGGCTCTACTTCCTATTTCTATGTATTTGTCCTTGGAATGAGAAGTGATAGCATTCAGGATGTGTGTGCACTTGTGTAAATATCTAAGGAAGTAAGCTGGACAGGTAGAGGGTAAGTCAGGAGATTTCTCAGGATATGTCTGTCTTCTCTAGTCCAAGAAAACTCAGTGTTTGGTATTTACCATGGTTTTAATATGTCTTATCTACCATACAGTGTGTTTGTATCTGTATTGACATGTGTGGGTATAGATATGTATGTATATGTGTGTCTACATACACCAGGCACTTAAGTAACTTTGGTGGTGATGACTCACTAGTAAAGGTGAAGGAGGTTTCATCTCATCACCAGAGAAGTGGCAAACACTTACTCAATTTTTAAAGCATAAGGACACAGGCAACCACAAAAGTAGGTCATGTATTAAAAATTGGCATTGGAGTCTGATCACTCAATGTTCTCTTTCAATGACCTTGGTCCTTTATGTCCTGCCTGCTGAGTTGAACTGAATTGTTCCTCCCGTGAATCAAGTACTTTGTTGACCTGAGTCCTTGTAGATCTGCTTGGTTCATTCTGAAGGGTCACTCTGTTGTTTTTAACATGAACAATAGATAGTTTCTTAATCCCTATTTTAGTAAAGCTTCCCTGACTACCATACTTCTGTGGGTGGTCTTCCATTGCTATCCTCTATCATTTTGTCTTCTCATTTATCTCATAGTATATCTGTACATTTGTGTTTATAGATTTCTGCTTTACAGAATCTGTGTCCTCTATTACAAGTAATTATTATATTTCTACCACCAAGCAGAAGTATGTGCTCCAAAACTATTTCCTGAATAAACAAAGATGTCTTGCTATATGACACAAAGATAGGTGATCGAGAGCAAAAGCCAGTCTTTAGTTCTTTATCTTTTTTTTTCTTTTTTACATTATTGGGTGAAGAATAATTTATGGAAAGATAAATACTGATAACAAGAAATTGGTAGCAAGAGAAAGGATGATAGTTTAGGGCAACACCAGGGTAAAGTGAAAGTTTATTTTAGAGTAGAGGCGACTTCAGCTCCTTTGTAAGAACAGGAAAAAGGGCTGCAAGAGCTGGAGGCCCAGTGATCCCGTGGAAGAATATGGGACAAGGGTTTTCCTCAACAAGGAGGTAGACTAGCACTTCTTTAACAGCAGAGAGATATGTAGAGGAGGCAGGAGGGGGGTTGATGAAGTTTAGTCAGGTTGCATTTAATCTCTGAATTTTGTTGAAGTGAAAATGGGCATTGGAGAAAGAAAAGATTCAAAGCAGCAGTTTTGATTTGACTGAGACTCAATAAAGATATAGTAAATAACTGTCAGACAGTAATGGACCTCTGAAGTCAGAGAGCCTGGCTTTGAAGTCCTCAGGTAACTAGGGCTTATGATCTTTCTTCAGAAACACCTTGCTCTAGAAGTAAAGAAGTCATACAGTAATTGAGGGGTGACTTTTCCTTTTTTTTTTTTTGGTCAGTCGTGGGGCTTGAACTCTGGGCTTGGGTGCTGTCCCTGTGCTCTTCAGCTCCAAGAGAGCACTCTACCGCTTGAGCCACAGCACCACTTCTGGTTTTCTAGTGGTTTATTGGAGATAAGATTCTCACAGACTTTCCTGCCCGGGCTGGCTTTGATCCTCAGATCTCAGTCTCCTGAGTAGCTAGGATTACAGGTGTGATCCACCAGTGCCTGGCACTTTTCCCATTTTTATTTTTTTATTTTTTGGATATTTAATCTTTGTTTTTTATCGTGAAAATACTGTACAGAGGGGTTACAATTACATGGGCAAGATAATGAATACATTTCTTATCAAGCATTGTAGCCTCCTCCTTTGTTTCCCCTTCCTATCCCTTCTTTTTCCATTTTTAACCCAAAGTTTTCTTGTTGCCTATGTAATTTATTTATTTTGCAATTTCATAATAATAAGCTGACAGCTTTTTCCTTTTTCTTTTTGGTGCCAGTCCTGGGGCTTGAACTCAATGTCAGCATGCTGTTTCTGAGCTACTTTTGTTCAAGGCAGCACTCTACCACTTGAGCCACAGATTCAAATCTAGTTGGTAGTTTTTTACATACATAATTTAGTAGATAATGAAGATAAGGTGAAAAGGATATTGAAGAGACTGAAAGGATATAATTTTCATATTGAATAACACGTGAATTTTTTTTATTGTGTATTGGATGTATATTCTATCTGAACATTTTTTTGACAGTATGGGGGCTTGAACGCAGCACCTCATGATTGCTCAGCTTTGCTTGCTTACAGATGGTGCTCTACCTCTTGAGTCATGCCCCGACCCCATCATTTTAGTAGCTAATTGGAGATATAGTCCCAAGGACTTTTCTGTCAGGGCTTGCTTCAAACTTCAGTCGGCAGATCTCAGTCTTCTGAGTAGTCAGGTTTATAGGACCACACAGCTAATCCTAGCCTCGAAAAAAAAAATCCTTCTGGCATGAAATCATCTTTGACAGTTATGCTTGGAGGATAATTTTTTAAAGGTAAAACTATCGTTCAACTCAATGACTGAGTTTTCACTTGACTAAACATGTTAGGACAACTTTGTTGGCTATACTTGATGAATTGTATCTGCACTGGGGCCTCAGCTTCTCCATTTCTAAAGAGACTGGTGGTAATGAACAACATAGGGTTGCTAAGGGGAAAATAAATAGTGAGATTGTAAAGGGTTGGCTAAATATTAAATGCTCTACAAATACCTTTGGTCTACCATACAGGAAGGACTTCTGATCTTTCAGATAAAGTTTATTAAATTTCCAAGGGATATAAAAAGGATAACAAAGCAGGCATTGCCATTGGAAATTAGTCTGCTGAAACATAATTGATAAGTACTCCCTTTCAGTTAGACTTTCTTTCTAAGGAAATGCAAACACTTTAGTAATAGGATCTTACAGATAGCCATAGTCTCCTGAAACCCAGAGCCTCTTTTACAAAGAAAAGAAGTTTGAGAAAAGATGACAAATTTCTTTTTTAAAAAATACATTTTATTGTAAAAATAGTGTACAGAGGGGTTACAGTTACATGAGTAAGGTAATGAGTACATTTCCTATCAAGCATTGTTACCTCCTCCTTTGTTTTTCCCCTACCATCCCTTCCCCCCCCCAACCTCCCCAACTACCTCCCTTCTGCCCAACAACAAGTTGTAAAGTTTGTTTTCAACATAGTGTCTTGTAGATCTCATTGTTACAATGGGTCAACCTGTATTCCTATTTA